GTTACTTTGGTCTTCTTGTTCGGTTTGCCTCAGTGGGTTGTTACGTCTCTTTGCCCGCATGGAGCCCCCAGACAGAGCAGCCCTGGAATGTCATTCAGATGAGGTGGCAGAGGCTGCAGTGGTGTGAGGACTTTGCCAGGACGGCGTGTTTGTGTGTGTCTTTGTGCCTTGGGAGCTGAGAAGATGCCTTCTGCCTGTGGAAAGGCATCAGTGACTCCTGGTTATAACATACCCTTGTTCTGATAAAGCTCAGTAGCCATTTCACATATCCGTTTCATTTTGTATATTTCATTTTTTTTTACAAAATTTTAAATCTTGTCTTGGAGACAGAAACACCTAATGAGTTCCTAGATTGAGCTGTTGGAGGACAAAATGTGTTTACCTGGGACAGAACACAGGTTTTGAAAGCAATTTGCGTTCAGAGTCTGTTACAGTGACTGGCTTCTTTATCTCCAGTTCTTAGGGATACTTTGTTCATTGAATGAAGTTCAAAATAGATCAAAAGTATCTTTTTTTTTTTTTTTTTTTTTTGCGGTACACGGGCCTCTCACTGTCGTGGCCTCTCCCGTTGCGGAGCACAGGCTCCGGACGCGCAGGCTCAGCGGCCATGGCTCACGGGCCCAGCTGCTCCGCGACACGTGGGATCTTCCTGGACCGGGGCACGAACCCACGTACCCTGCATCGGCAGGCGGACTCTCAACCCCTGCGCCACCAGGGAGGCCCAAAAGTATCTATTTTTAAAAGCTGCAGAAATTCTTAGGTTAATTTTTAGCCAAATAGGTAAACAAAGCACTCAGCTTATCAGATGGTTTCACATTCACTACCCATGTGTAACCCACCAGCGTCAACCTTGATAAACTAACCAGTGCAGTTTTCCTGAGATCCTTGGGAGATTCCTCCCAATTAGCTAGAGGGAGTCATCAAGAGACAACGAAGACCAGCTGTGCCTTGGAAACTCGTGGTGAGGGTTCGTTCTAGAGAGATTCCACTGTGGTGGAAGGTGAGCCCAGGAATGTCCTCTCTCTCCGTCGGTTAGGTGGTAAGGTGTGGTCTCCTGCGCCCAGTAGGACTCAGGCAGGTTGGAGACCCTCTCCCAGGGTTGCCATTGCAGATTTCCAAGATCCAGTACGTTGGGTCCTCCGGGGTTGTCAGTTACATAATCCCACCTCTGTGAGCTCAAGCACAATGAGGAACCTTTTTCAGCTGCACCTGCCAGACACAGGTGTGGACCTTGTTGGAAGGAAGCTAAGCTGCCATTTACCTTTGGATATGAATGGGCTTCCTGAATCCATGCTGGTCACCCTTTGATGATTCAAGAGCAGTCACTGACCTGAATCAGGGTCCCATCTAGTGACACTCCCTTCTTTCAGATGAGGGTGCTGAAACTTAGAGCAGAACGGTCCCTTGTCCAAGGTCACAGAGCTAGTGAGCCTCAGAGCAGGATCTGGACCTCACTCCCCATATTCCACACACAGTTTCCTTTTCTCTAGGTGACTATAATTTTGTAGTTGTTTAAATCACACATCCCTGTTCTCTATTCTGCCTTTATTTTCTGAATTCTGTCCATTCCAAGCCTGAAGTTTTCACTGAGGAAAATACATGTTTTAAAAGTAAGAGTTAGGGGGCTTCCCTGGTGGCGCAGTGGTTGGGAGTCTGCCTGCCGATGCAGGGAACGTGGGTTCGTGCCCCGGGCTGGGAAGATCCCACGTGCCGCGGAGCGGCTGGGCCCGTGAGCCATGGCCGCTGAGCCTGCGCGTCCGGAGCCTGTGCTCCGCAACGGGAGAGGCCACAGCAGTGAGAGGCCCGCGTACCACCAAAAAAAAAAAAGTAAGAATTAAGCAAAACACCAAATTAACTTCAGTAGTTTAAAACATTAGGGTACAATGAGAGAGGGTCATCACCATAATCACCACTGCATTAGGGCTACTGCATTCCAAGTGACAGAAAAACCAACCGAGTCTGTCTTAAAGAAAAAAAAAATTATGAATGACATAACTGAAAAGTCGTGGTGGAATGGTTTTAGGCAGAGTCTGATCCGGAGACCTGTTGTCTTGGTTCTTAGTTTTCTTTTGTCTTCATCTTCCAGGTCTAAACCTATATCCCCCCAGTTTTAAGTGCAAAAATACAGATTTTTTTTTCTCCTTCTCTCTCCGGAGCCCTAGTAAGTTCCAAGGTTGTGTACTATTGACTCTAACTAGTTCTCATTCTTATTCCTGAGCCAGTGACTGTGGACAGGGCACAGCCATGCGGTGACAGGGCAGGCTTACGTCACATACCCATCCCTAATGCAGGAGTGAAGTCACGGTGGTGGTCCGCAGACAAGGGGGTATTGATACTGGGTGACAGAACTGGTGCATAGCAGGTGTTCAAAAGATCTTTGGAATGTAAAACAACCAGGCGTGAGCCCTAGGCCAGCCGATGGGGCATCTCCCAGGTGAAGACCTGGTTGGTCCTGAGGGTTTGCTGCCCGGTGGATGAGGGGGTTTCGTGCTGACCTGTAGCTGTGGTCATCACCCCAGGTCTAGGCCGCTTGCCTTGCATGGGCTCCTATAGATGCCCAAGGAGAGTGAGCCGGATACGGAGTGAGTGCCCTCAGCCCCGTACCATCCCACCGTTGGAACAAACCCCGGGGCCCTGCCTGCACAGACTCTTAACAGTCCATGTCTAGTTTTATAGGCCAGGTTATTTTGTAATAAATTCTTGTTTTCAAAGGATGAGCTGCTGTCTGATTCAAAAAGCAGATTTTAATCCACCAAAGAACTTTCCTGAAAGTCAAGATTTACTTTCTGTGCTAAAGCGTTAGAGCTGCTCAAAGTAAAAATGTCTCTGACTCTATGTTAAGGGAATTTGGCTTTGGTAGGAGAATCAAAAATGTCAAAGAAACAGAAATTTGGAAATAACACGATGGCTGATAGGACCCACCCTCTGCCGGCTGCCCCCTCCCCCTTCTCAAGTAGAAGAGCCTACTGTTCTTCCCATGGGGGTGGCAGTTTTCAGGGACGGTCTTGCCAAAGGTGAGGTAGGGAATATAATTCTTTCTAGTCAGGTTGGGTTTTGACTCTTCACAGGCTAGAAATACTTCCTCGCTGTAAATGCTGGAGGTGAGCGAAAGGATTAGACCCCAGCTGCAAACGCATGCCGTATGTCTTAGAAATGAATCTGGGCACTGTGCTCGTCAGCTCAGCTTGCACGCCTGCTTCCCTCTCTTTCTGCCGCCAAATTTCCTCTCATGGAGTTGGTCTCTCTCTTACTGGAGTATTTCCCATGTGTTTGCTAAAGGGAAATCACCACCAAGACATCTGCAAAGTCTCCAGGCTTTGAAGTACCCACAGGAAACTCGGCAAAGAGAAACCCAGAGTTACTTTGAGTCTCCCGGGTGGGTGGACCTACTGTTTGTTTGGTTTTGGTTTGGTTTGAGAGCAGCTGGGGGTGAAGCCCAAATCCAGGGCGCTGGCACCAGCGGAAATTAAAGTGTCTTCATTCTTCTCCTACCTGAGACAGGAGCTTTAAAGAAAACTTTTTTTGTTTTTATTCAAAGCAATGAAAAATAAAAGCACGCATAGAAAGTGTTTAGTTTCCCCTTGTTCAAATGACAATTCAGACCCGCGTGTGCTTTGAAAGTCTGTGTTTTGAATTCATAACCGTTGCAATGTCTGTAGCATGTAAGAGTTGACAAAGGGCGTTTGTGTACATTAGCTCAGGTCACCTTTGTGAGAAATCAAGGTGGTTAGCGTATTACCATTATTTTGGTGATGAGTTGACTGAGAGGAAGATGGAAAGACTTGCCTGGCATCACTTTGCCAGTGAGTGGCAGCCCGCGGTCCTTCTGATTCCAGAGGGAGCGCTGTCCAGCTGAGAGACTCTTACTCTAATTACTGGGGGAAAGTGGCCTGACACTGAGCTGTTCTCCCCTCCACATCGCCCTCAAATTGTGGAGTCATCTCTTCTTTCTTTGGGGGTGGAGGCCAGTCTTCATGGCTCCTCAGATAAAATTAAAGAAATTAAACAATAATCACACTATGATTAATAACATTTCTCGAGCTCTGTGCCCAAATCTGTTGTCAGTTACATCTGTGAATTGGCTGGGCCTCACAGGAACCTTCCGTATATGGTGAGGTCAGGTGACCTGCCTGCCTGAGGTCAGTTGGCTCGAGGTGGTAAGCCAGGATTCAAATGCAGGCGGTCCCCCAGCAGGCTCCTCCTCTTAACCCCGTCTCTGTATAACCCATACTGAGCACCTACTAGTGCCAGGCCCTTTGTCTGCACTATCTCATCGACTCATCACCATCCCCATTTTATAGACGACGAAACAGAGCTTCAGTGCGATTAAGTGACCTGCCCCGGTCCTGAGACTTAGGAAGAATTGGAGTCAAGAGCTGAGCCAGGCTGTTAATCCCCAAAGCCGATCTCAGAGCTTCTGCTCCATTCCCGGCCCCAAAAGAATACCATTGACACTGCAACGCGTAAAACATGAGAAGAGCCCACCGCGGAGGTAGACGCTGGAGGCTGTGCTACCCAGTACAGCAGGAGGGTCCCAGCTTAGAGCCCCGCCCCAAGCAGACGGTGTGTCAGCGAGGCAGCAGACAGACAGGGATGCTGAGGCCCAAGGAGGCTCGTTCACTTGCACAAAGACACTTCCATGTGTCTTACGGGGGGCTGCCACCAGGATCTGAATACAAGCTGGGTGCTGAGGGCCCTGGTCTAGACAGTGGTGACTTTGACAACGTTGAACTTGAGAGCACTGTCCCGGAGAATGGGGTTCGGGAGCCTGGCTTCCATTTCTGCCCCGTCTCCCTTACCCCCGCCCCTTCAGCCTCCCTCCATGTCACCCCTCTCCTCCAGAAATGTAGAGAAACTACCACCCGCCTTCTTCCCAGGAATTTTGCAAAGAGTAACTGGATCGTTTCAGAATAGTTCTTTGAGCGGCATGTAGGAAAGTTGCCATCCAGAAGAAGAAGGTAAAATAACAATAATAATTATTCTATTTAAATGTATTTAAGGAAATCTCCCTGGGGGCAGTGAAGAGGAGAGCGACTTATACTTGTGGAAAATTCACAAGTTGGTGAAATGCCCGCGTCCCTGAGAGGCCGCTGGGTCGCTGGTGGAGTGACAGGGTCGTGGCACCGGATCTAAAGTCCCGGCACGAAGGGGTGGAAGCTTCTGAGCCAGAACTACCCAGGCTTCTGTACAAAAATAACTTGCCTGCCCATCTCAAAGGCCCACAGGGACGGCGCTTTGCGTGACCCCAGACTGGTTAGTGCCAAGTGCTCACCCAGCTTTTTTCAAAAACTACATTCCCTTGTCATCCGCAAAAGGGGGCTTCAGCGTCTGCCCTGTAATTAATTCCTGCCCACTTACCACACGGATCGCTGGGGCTTCTCCCCACCTGCTCGTGGAACCTGTGTTTGTCTTTAGTGGTAAGCCTGGCAGATAATGAGGTTTTGATGCCACCAAGCTGTTGTGGCAAGTTTATTCTGGGCTCTGCAGAGCCCTTGGCTGCTGCCATCTGGTCTGTTCAGATGTTGCCCTCTCTCCATTCGGAGGGCCTGGGTTTGGTGGGCAAGCTGTTCTCTTTACAGTCGACGTGGCTTTGATCTTGGAGACTGGCTTTCCCACTCAAACACCTGGTCGTGCTTAGGCTCTGCACAAGTCCACGCTCCTGCACAGCGTTCCTCGTCTCTTGATACACAGATGGCCACCATGCTGTGTGCAGCCGCAGGGACGGCCTGCTCAGCCTCCCACAGCAGAGGTTTTTCCCCTCCAGTTGATGCAGACAAGATAACCTCGTAGGCAAACACTTGGGTACTTTCCCATCTCTTACAGCTCCATTCCCTGCTCCACGCCACTCCTGTACCCACTCCTCTCGACCCAGTGTGAGCAGAGACTGGACCCCCTAGAGCAGGGCTTCTCGAAGTGTCTGGGCATCTGATCAGAATAGTGATTCTGATCCGTGAACTGGGGGTGGGCCTCAGACTCTGACGGGCTCCCAGGTGATGTCCATGCTGTTGGTCCGTGAATCACATGTTGAGCCGCAGAGTCTTCCATTACTTCTGGAATAATCTCCACTCTGGCCTCCCCCCACCCCCCAGTAATGTTCCTATCTCTCCTCCTTTCTCTTAATAAAACTTCACTGCCTTAAGTGCTATTCCTGTAGAAGCACCCTCCTGTCCCCAGGTGACTATTTCATACTCAAGTGATAACAGCTGATAGATAAGCAGGATGGAGAATCAGAAGCCTGTATCTTGAGAGCAGGGTATAGATATACGCTGTGATGACTCTATGCGAATCACATGTGCAGTTGGTGAGCCCTTAACTGTTTTTCATGTGTCCTGACAGTATTCTATCTCAATAAGAATTTTTAAAAAATCACTTCATTGACAGTATAAAATTAGGTATTTTAATCTTTTTAATGCATTTTCTCCCTCCATCCTCAAAAACTCAGAGAAGCACAGAAGAACAACTCAGCAGTCACTCAGAGTACCCAAATATAAGAGTAGCATCGCATCACTTGTGGTTGAAAAGGCTAGCTGTGTGCTTGTTACACTCGGTTCCCCAGCTGAGATCAGTCTGTTCCATTCAGGCTGGAGAAAAGCAGTTTCCATGTAAGAAGTCTGATAATATAATTAAAACATTGTCATTACAACTGGATTCAGGCTTCCCTTTTATCAAATCCTCAAGGATGACATTCAAAATGAGCATGGACATTTGAAATCTAGCGGAAGCAATGGCTTTCTCTAGGAGGGAAGCTCTTTTATACCATCTTTAAAGGGGCTCTTAGGATTCTTCAGTTGATACATCGTGGTCAACAGATGTGGAGCTGAGAGTTCAAGTCACCTAGATGCGTATCCTGGTTCCTTGGTTTTCCCCATGTTACTGAACCTTGTTTAGCCTAGCTTTCCGCATCGGTATAATAGGCACAGCTATCATTATCGTTGATGGGTGGCTTGTCATGTGATAGGTTCTCTAGACTCCACCCTTTTCCCTAGGACAGCCCTGGAAAGCTATCTAATGACTGATGGGCATGGATACCCACCAATGAGAGCAAACCAGCCTGTATCACTGGAGAGGCCCTAGTGGCTCTGCTGTGCCCGCGTGTCTCTTTAGTTCCTGGATTGCAGGGTGGCCCACAGTGGATGGGGAGGTTCCCTGTGGGGGGCTGGTGCAGCCAGGACAGTGGGAGGGTTTGGGCTCTGGGGTTTGAAGGCGCTGCTCTGGATGGTCTGGTATGAAAGGATGTCAGTATCTAACTGGTCCGTCCCCACTTTGCCAATGAGAATCCTGAGGATTAGATGAGGCAAGTTGCCCAAGACAACACAGCCAGTGAGTGGTGGGCCAGGGCAGTGGCACTCTGGCTCCCATGGCCTTACCCACTGAGCAGCCTTCCTCGATAGGACATGAAATAAGGCACGTGAAAGTGTCTGCTACAGTCTCCGGCGTGTGGTTGGTGGGTACTCAGTAAATCTTAGTGTCCCTTGCCCTTTGCACTCGATTCCTGCCCGGTTCTCCATGGAATCCAGTGCTGTCCTCCTGTTTGGGGCTGGCTGGGGTCGGTAGATGTGGCTTCCACCTTTGACCTCTCCGTTACCCAGCAGGGCCTGGTCGGTGCTGTGACGCACGGTTTCCAGCTCTGCCAGGTGCACCACTGTGCACGGGAGTTTGCTCGCTACAGGTTGGTGAAGTATTCCAGGGCAGGATGTTTACATCCCCTGGAGGAATGGGCACAGAATCAAGTCAGCCCTTGCTTGGCAACCCCTGGCTGTTCTTTGCAGCCTAAGGCGCCCTGCCAAACCAGCTCAGGAGAGGCAAACATAACAAGTGCTGATGCGCTTGTATTTTATAGAGAACATAATAAAAGTTTTCAGGATGATTTATTGTCCTAAACAAGAAAATACAATGGACACCATCCATTATTCAACATGCTAATGATAACCTTTACTCTCTTGTCGAGGATGATCTAAGGTAGCGTTTGGTGGAAGTACAAAGAATACGCAGGGAACGCACACACACACACACACACACAATCCCACGACGTTCCATGCTGTGACAGTTGGAAAATTAATGGTGGAACGAAGGGATTTAAAACCAAGTGGAAAGGTAGGTTTCCACGTTTGCAACTTTGCGAGTGTCAGTAAAATAAAATTAAAGGGGTTTCTTTAATTTTAGGTGATTGACTTGGAAATGTCCCCCACGCAAAGTGAGTTTTGAGACCTCATTGAAAGCTTTCTTGTGATGTTGTTTTTTGCTTTCTTGTAATTTTTATGAAGTATATTTCTTGCAACTGACATTAGTCCAGCCACATGGTGAAGAGGGCCCAGAATTAGATCATTGCTCAAGATCGTCATTCATGGACCAGTTAACACTTAGGCGTCGGGGGTCGGGGAGATGACTTGGCGTACCGTTGTTCCCTTTTAAGGGGAGAAACTGAGTGCTTTTTCCCCTGAGAATGACAGTTGACTGGAAAATAGAAAAGTTTGTTTTGGTTCCATGCGAGTTTGATAGAGTTGGCAGAATCTTCCGTTGCTGACGCAGGAGGACTTTTTCCCAAGTCAAGAGGAAATGGTAATCACAGTTATTTCCCCCGTGTTTAGTGATGCTCTGTATGTTTCAGTGGATATCAATAAAAGGTAAATCAGTACAGACAGGTGCTTTAGAATCACACCATAACTCAAGTATTGATACCACCAGAGAGAAGGACATTTCTCAGTTTCTCTCCTTGAAGCTTTTTCACTAGTTTGTGGACCAAAATAGTCTTCTAATGGAGAGGAGAGCCTGGAGAGATTTGAGAGCTGAGCCTAGGCTGCCTGTTCCTGTCTTTCAGGAGACTGTTAAAGACATTTAAAAAAATAAACAAAAGCAAAAGCTCTTGCTGATTCCCTTAAATGGTTTTTTGGCTATGAAAATGGAAGCATCCCTAAAAAATCTTAATGTCCTCAGCAATTCTCCAAAAATTTCCTCCATCATGATTTTCAGATTTATGAGTAATACTAGAAGGCAGCATTTCTCAATTCTGAATCAGAGCAGAACAGGCTGTGTTGGGAGCAGTCAGGACTTGGGCTCCAGAGTAGGTTGGATGGGTGACCTAGGCAAGGTGGTTAACCTCAGCCAGGTTATAATTCCACTGTTGTAACGTCCAAAAGATTGTTGGTCATTATAAGGTTGAAATAAAGCAATGTAGGTAAAGTATTTAGTATGGTACCTAACACAAAGGAATCCTTCAAGAAATATTGCCCTTCCACTTCGCTCCCTCAAAAGGAAAAAAGATTGCTTAAATATATGTCAAAGTCAAAAAATAAAATTGAGAATTTAAGGAAACTTCCCCAAATAAGACATAGTCATATACTTAGTATTAACAAAAGAGAGTCTGTTTTTATTCTTTCATCCCTTTAGTAAATGTTGATTGAATGCCTGTCATGTGTAGGTGCTAGGAACAATTTCCTTCTACTCAGAAGCTGGTGAAACCCAGCTACGCAAGCAGTCAAGTCAAATTTTAAAGGTTTTTCCAGGAGGTTAAAAGTGACTAGGGGCGATGCTACTAAAACCAACTGGATATAAAGTTGAACCACCGGGTCTCATTCTAGAGTTTTCCAAAAGATAGCTCTTAAACTATGTTCTTCTTCATTGAGGGGCTTCTAAAAGTCTTTAGGCTTCTCTCCACCACTGCCTACTTGCGATATCATGTTTAGGATTATTCTGAAGGATTCTGAGACTTTCCACAACTATGTCTATTTCAAGTCTTTTCTCAGAAGATGGAACTCCACAGAAGGCAGTTCACGTGATTTTTAGTCCGAATCTATAAATAATTGGTGTATCCATTTTAGCCCCCCAAACTCCCATCTGGTTCTCTGTTCACATGAGACACTAGGCCAACAACTTGGAAGGGTAATAATATCTCGCGATGCGTGGACGTCGTAGGATAATTGCAATGATAGTAGATGCTCCTCGCTTCTGATTTTTTGAGGGCTGGAACTTGGGCTTTCCCAAGGTAATTAGCACAAGATCAGCAGGCTGGATGGGGGAAATAAATCACTTGGAGGAAGGCATTTATTCCATCTTCCCTGTTCACTTGTCCTGCGTGCTTGCAGTCATCGAGACTCCTGGTTCAGGATCAGAAGGCCTGACCTGGTCCCTGCTCCTATGCAGACTTTTTCTAATTCCTGCATGTGAGAGAGGCAGAAGACCGCAGCTTGTTTGGGGGATCCCAGATGGAGTTTGCAGGATGGAGATAAGAAAATGCATCTCTTTTGACTGGTAAACTGAGAAATTTAAATTGGAACAGCAATGAAGAAACCATACATGTTGGGGGGTGGGGTCGGGGTGAGGCAACCCATGATGTTGCTTTTGGATCTGTAAAGAGTCATTTTGTAGCGTCATCTGCACTTTAAGAATTCCTAATGGGTACAGGCAGTTTAGACTCTGAGCTCAGTGTGTTGGAGTCTCTGATCATGTTCTTCTGATTGGGGGGCGGGGGGAGGGCGGGAAGGGGAAACGATAAGAGTCACACAAACACACACTCAACAAAAGATGGGGAAAATGTGAGCACCAGGCGTATCCCTGCTGATTTGGGGATGGCAGTTGAAGAGAGAAGAACATTTCAAGTGCAGGGAGTGAAGCAAGAATAGCCCCCCCTGCCAGGAGAGGGCAGAAGGGTCAGCAAAGGTAAGTTTATGAGCCAAAGAGAGTTGGGGGAGGGGAGGGGGTGGAAGGGGGGATGGGGTTAGAGAATCAGGGGAGCGGAAACCCAGCACACGAAACCCGCCATGATGTGTTGGAGATGTTTAATTTGAAACTGTGATCCCTACAATTACTGAAAATGGAGAAGTTAAAAAGGAAAGCAGTTCCACTGTGACAGGGCAGGAAGAACCCGAGACACATTGGACGTTTGAATGCCTTTAATAAAAAAAAAAAAAATGCCTTTTTGACAAAGTTCTCCTTTTAGATCTGGTGAAATGCATATTAATTTTGCCTCCTTCCTCATGAATCACTGTGTGCTCTGTATGGAGAGTAAAGAAGCATCCAGAGATGGAGAACTGCCTGGCGCCAGCAGCTCAGACTTTTCCTCTGGATCCTATAGGAATGATGAGCAAATGAGTGAGGCGGTCTGGGAGGGAGATGGGATGTGAACAAAGGATTCTGGAGTGTGAGACTTGGAGGTGGATCACTGTGTTAGGTCTTAGACTTCTTGTCATTAAAGAGGATAGGACATGACTTTAGTAAAACCCTCTCTACCACGCCAGATCTCCCCCATCCCCAACCCCATCCCATTCCATGAACCCACCTGGAATAGGAGAGCCCCCTCTCCTCCCACCAAACCAACCTGGAATTGAAACCGTCTTTTCCCTTGTGCCCTCCTGAGAGTGACTGGCCGTGGAAGCCACAGAACTGCCAAGTTCTGGTGAAGGCGTTCAGTTCAGGTCCATTCACGATGTACATTCACTTTGTGGGTGGAAAGAAACCTGGAGAAGACAGAGGAAACACAGCTTAAAGCCTCCAGAAACTGGCAGGCAGACTTCCAGAAGGAGGCTCCTCCCAGGAATCTTCTCCTCGAATTAAACCTGGGTCTGAAACACATTTGCAAATGATCAGGCTTAAAAGTGGGATTGGGTTTCCTTGTGTCTTGCTGATAGGGGCCCAGAGACTTTTGTGGGTTGTTGTTTTTTTTTTTTTTTTTTTTGAAGATGAGAGGGAAGAAATAAGGCACCATGAGAATGCAGAGCTGAAAATTCTGGGCAGCAAATCACTAACTTAGACCAGCCTCTTCCTCTGATAAATGCTTGCCAAATACATCATGGCCTTCATGGAAAATACTGCCTCCTAATGTCAGATTATGCAGTAATAGTCGCTGAATGAGAACATAAATGCGTTTAAAAGAAATTCATCGGTGGGCTCTAAGGCTCGTGTGGTTGCTCACTTATTCTCTGCAGCGTTCAGCATTAGCAGACCGCAATGAAACAGCTTTTTATTTACAGACCTCCGTTTATGATACATTTACCTGGTGTGGTTAATTAAAGATGATTTTTAACCCCATATCTTTCTTTAAAACGCTGAAAAGGCAGTCCAGAGTTTTTCCATCCATAAATGGTGGTCATAAACTACCATAAGATGGCACTGTAACATAAATTATGGGAAGAGTCAGCTATATGGTGTAAGGACTGAAAGAATGAAAAGTCGAGCGCCAGATTTGCAGGTGAGCAGATGGGAATTATTCCCAAAGAGCTGCATTAACTAGGAAACGTGCTAAAAGCATGTTATACTCACACTGGATTTTAATCAGGGAGACGCTGTCCAGGAATTCAATGCAGACAAGGCCTTTTACATTTTCAGAGAAAATGAATTCCAATACAACGTGAAAGAAAAGATTTCAAAAATACTAAGAGAAATCAGGCTGCAATTGCGGGTACAAAAAAAAATGGGAAGGTGTTTTCCACTCTGGGTTCTGTCTCAGGAATATAATAACTGAGGTCAGAATGAAAAGATTGTTGAACCATTTTCCCATTCTTCTGACTTCCCTGTCATCCCGGGAGGGGGAGAGAGGCAATCTTAGAAAAATGGCCAACCCCACAGGGCCTGGCTGTGGTGTCTGAACGTCGGTGCCAACACATTTATCCCCTCGGTTTTGTTGTTGTTTTGTGTTTTTTTGTTCTTTTTTTTTTTTTTTAACAAAGCAAGCATTGCCTTTTACAGATGAGCACTGGGGAGTAAAAGTATTTCGGGATATTGATGCAGTAGGCATCGTTGGTTGCTTTTTTTTTTTTTTTTTTGCCATGCTCCGTTCGAGAGGGGCTCAGTCAGTGCTGCGTCTGCCAAAGTGGCCCTGGTCTAGTGGCCCTGGTCTAGTGGCCCTGGTCTAGTGGCAATCCCTTAGAGATTATAGAGGAAAGGGGCAGAAACGTCATCCAAATTCCTTTGTAGGGGCTCCATAGCTTCAGGTGCAGTGGAAAACAGCAGTCTCACCAGTGTGTTCTCTGGCTTCATAGAAAAGCTCTTTAAAAAAAAAAAAAATCAGTTTCTTGGAGATCTTAAGCTATTGTGGTACCAAGTGGGTACTCTCTTTGGCTTGGCATAAAAGCAGGTACATGCTCTTCTCTGCTTAGCAAGCAGGTATCCAGGCCCTGTTCAATACCGTACACTCGGGAGAGGTGCTGGATGCTGCTGGAGCCATGAGATGGCTTTTGGAAGCACTTAGCATCCCTGCAAACAGCGGACTACGCTTGGCTAAAAAGAGGTCATTGGGGAGCCTGGCTTTATGTAGAACATCAGGCTCCTTTTCTTAATGATTGTTAACCCCCATCACTCCAGTAGAGAAAATAGGGGAATGTCAGGCAACTGACAATACTGGTCAAAGACCAATCAGAGATGCATCACGGGGGATGTTGTAGCCTAGAAAGCCCACGCCTGGTAACGTGGCCTCGGAAGCCCACAGAGCCCAACTTCTAGCTGATGCAAAAACCGATGGGTTTTCTCTCTGGTGGGTTAAGCCTCCATTTGGGGGAAGACAGTCTTGGCTGGTCTCTGGCAAGTAAGCCCCATGCCAGAGAGTCTATGGCACACACGTGGAGTCATCGCCCATCTCACTCTGTTGAGTAGACTTGACCATTGCAACCTCTCAGCTCCCGTTGTAAAATCACTGTGGCATTAAGATGTCTGTTTCTCAGAGAACATTAAGTGGAGGTCTGTCTGGGGGTGGAGCAAAGGGAAAAGACTTGCTTCTTAATACACTGGTGTCCTCTGCTTCTGTTGGCAGAAATCTGTTGTGAAATCTCATACCTGCTTTGTTCCTCTGATTACCTGCTTGCTTAAGAATACTGAATTACCCCTCCCAACTCTTGCTAATTGTCTTCATAAATGTTATTTTGAAAATACTGTCTTAGACATCCCCGAGACATTTTTTTCTCAAATGGACAGAGTTGTATCTTTGTTCATAGGTGTGTGAAAGTTGATACTTAAGGATCCCAGTCCCTTTCCTGAAACCCTTAGTGCCAGAATATAGAATCGGGGGGATTTTATAAAGGCATGATGGTGCATGGACCATGCATCATGTAGCCTGTAACTGGTACTTTAATATTTCTGCAGTGAAATGTGTGAATGTTCAGGTTAATGGTCCAAGTAACGTCTATAGAGATCCAGTATCAGGTCTGGTCTTGCCAACATTGAGTTAATTAGAAAAATAAAGAAGACTTTGAATTTCTGAATTATGACTAAGGGAATGTTTTTATATTGTATAAGTGTTTATATTTTAGAAGAAATACGGTGTTGAAGTTAAATTCAAAATCTGTGGATTATGTAGAAAGGTAGACTTGGAGGTCTGGCTCTGAAGTTGCCTCTAATCATAATTCCTTATATATCCATCACTTTCTACTTTTTATTTCTTACTGACTAATTAGAACCTCCAGCCACGAGGTTGCAAACTCGTTTGTTTAAGGAGACCAGAAAGATCCTGTGAACTGGGTGGTAGACAACAGGGAATGCTGAGGATCAGGGCAAAGGAGAAACCCTCAGTGTCCAGAGGAGGCGCCCACAACCAGGCAGTTCCTGATGTCTGCTGCCACATGGGAGAATATCCCAGGTCATGTCCTCATCAAGATAAATCAGAAAAAAAATTATTTGAAATACTCTCAACTTTTAAATCTTAGTAAATAATTCAATTTTTTAAACATTCCGTGCAAAGCATATCACCTGTGATGTTTTCATTAGCACTCAAAACCATTTATATACCAAAAGAAGAAAAAAACACCAAAACCCCCCATACAAACACACACACACACACACACACCCCACCTTATCATCCTCACCTTCCCCCAAGCAGATTCTCCCTGCTTTCTTGTGGTCGCTGTCATTTCCACTCTGGCTTTGATGGCCTCCCTAGTCAACCTTGACACCCATGGTCGTGTATTTAAACTGCGCGTTGGATATAATAGAATGACCCCCTTTAGCCTAGACCTTGCATTATTCCTGTTATCCCACTAATGAGATGTGGAGGGCCTCAGTCCTAGGATGCCTGTATGCACCCCTGTTTTCTCCTTTCCTACACTTGCCTGTCTCTCCAAAGAGCCACACAGATTATGCCTCTGTGTATTGTCCCGTCTCCTCATTCACGTTTTTTAAATTGACGTATAATTGACATGTAATATTATATTAGTTTTAGGTGTACAACACGATTCGATGTTTGGGCATATTGCAAAATGATCACTACAGTAAGTCTAGTTACCATCTGTCGCCATACATAGTTATAAAATATTTTTTTCTTATCACTTTTAAGATACACCCTCTTAACATTTCAAATATGCAATATGGTATCATTCACTATAGTCACTATGCTGTACATTACACTCCCATGATTTATTTGTAACTGGAAATTTATACCTTTTGACTCCCTTTCCCCGTTTTGCTCAGTCCTGATCCCCTGCTACTGGCAACCAGCAGTCGGTTCTCTGTATCTATAAGCTTGTTTTTCTTTTTCTCCTTTTTCTAATTCGAGATATGAGTGAGATCATATGGTATTTGTCTTTCTCTGTCTCACTTATTTCACTTAGCATAATGCCCTCAAAGTCCATCCATGTTGCTGAAAATGGCAAGATTTCTTCCCTTTTTATGGCTGAGTAACATTGCACTGTATATATGTACCACATCTATATCTATATCTACATTGTATATGTACCACATCTCCTTTATTCACCTGTTGATGGAGACTTGCGCTGTTTCCATCTCTTGGCCATCATAAGTAACGCTGCAGTAAACACTGAGGTGCATGTATCTTTTCAAATTAAAGTTTTTATTTTCTTCAGCTGAGAATCCAGAAGTGGAATTGCTGGATCCTTTGGTAGTCTATTTTTAATTTTTGGAGGAAACTCCCTACTATTTTCCATAGTGGCTGCACCAATTTACATTTCCACCAACACGGCACAAGGGTGCCTTTTCTCCACATCCTTGACAACGCTTGTTATCTCTTGTCTTTTTGAGAGTAGGCATTCTAACAGGTGTGAGATGGTATCTCCTTGTAGTTTTAATTTGTTTTTCCCTGATGATTAGTGATGTTGAGATCGTTTCATGAAGCTGTTGGCCATCTGTACGTCCTCTTTGGGAAAATGTCTACTTATATCTTCCTGTTTTTTAATCGAGTTGTTTTTTTTGCTATTGAGTTGTATTAGTTCTTTATATGTGTTGGATATTAGCCCCTTAACAGGTAAATGATTTGCATATATTGTCTCCATTCAGTAGGTTGTCTTTTCATTTCGTTGGTGGTTTCCTTTGCTGTGCAGAATCCTCATCCACTTTCAATCTGACCCAATAGAGATAAACCAGTTCCCTAATTAACAAATCCTATGGGCTTTTCCTCTGTTTTCTTTGTTTGTTTGTTGAGTTAAAAAGAAAACTGTATGATACAGTTTAAAATTGTATCGTTGATATACAATGTTGTGTTAGTTTCAGGTGTACAGCAAAGTGAATCAATTATGCATTTACATATACCCACTCTTTTTTAGATTCTTTTCCTACATAGGCCATTACAGAGTCTTGAGTAGAGTTCCCTGTGCTCTACAGTAGGTCCTTATTAGTTATCTATTTTATATATACGAGTGTGTATATGTCAATCCCGATCTCCCAATTTATCCCCTGCCCCCCCCCTGCACTTAGCTTTTTCTGTGTTTTCTTGAACTAACTTGAATCGTTTACACCTTTTGAAAGTCCCTCTTCCCTGTTGTCTATGTCATTACATGCCTTGGGTTTCCTCCTTTTTTCCCCGTCTTTTCACTCACCATACTCCGGCTTCGTCCTACCAGGTTCTGGCTTCAGCTTCCTTCCTCCCTGTACTCACAGCCACTTTATTCTTTGGACATAACGACCATCTCGGCCATTACACAATCTAGACTTGTAGGTGTGGCTTCTCTCTTCAGAGACAAGACCTCAGCTTCCAGTTGGATATTCCACAGGCTACTCACACTCAACCTCTCCAGAATGGAGCCTCGCACATTCCTGTCCAATCCAGATCCGCTTCCTCATCTCCATTCTCCTGTTCGTGAATTAAAATCAGTCATCTGTGACCTAACACACTTCCCATCCCAACAGTCAGTGAAACCAGTAGGGTCCATCTCCCTCGTGGTTCTTTTTCATCCTCACTGTCAGAGCCTTTCTTACTCTTATTACTACTGTCCCTATTCTCGGGGTCTTAACCCACCAGCCTGTCCTGTGAACTTGGAGAGTATAGTTCCTAAATCCCAACAACCACCA